GCTGGTTCAGCATCTCGTGATTGTAGTGAACAGGATGTGTAACGAGATACATTCTTGCGAATTAGAACTTGGAGAAACGCCTTGAAACGCTTGGATAGACATTAACCCTTCTTCAGGGGCATCGCTTTTTGACCACATGCTTCATTAAAAGTTTCTGCGGCTTCAGTTCTTTGAGTGAACACAGAAAAGAAATATTTTTGTTGACTTGATGTTCGCCAAAAAAATTAACAATATTCTAAGACAAATCTTGTGAACGACTATTATATTATAGAATGGGAGATATGTGTTCAGTTATCAATGGCCAGTATGTGACTCCCAGCGGAGTGAAGAATCAAATAAATAATTTCAAAAATACCCTAAACAAGGAACATTACTTGACAGCCGCATCCTTGCATCCTCCTTCTCTTTATCACAAGACTTGCTGATAAATCGACATTCTGTGGGCTCTGTTCACCCCTGGCCCACAACAGTACTTGATGCCATACAAAACCAGAAAAAAGGAAGGAAGACATTGGAAAACCCGTAACACAGAATAGCTCGCGAAAACTCCGTGTATGGAATGAGTCACGCTGTAAGCAATGCACGACAAACTTCCGCACGCAACTGCATCACTGGTGAACTTAGGCGGTGTCAAAACTTTCCCTACCTTATGAGGTGGACTAATACTAATTCCTCGTTTTCAAAAAGGTATCCAGGGGAAGTTGAACGACTCGTAGCTTGCAAAAGTCGACATGCTAGCAATCCCCACGACGAGCACAAGAGATATTCCTGTGAGGCTGCAGGCACCACGCGCGGTAATTAGCAATGTAAGTCGTTGTCTTGCGGCCAAAAAACATTAATACTATGAAAAGTCACGCGCCTCTTGCGGTTTTATCTCGCGCTTTCGTGTGACAAAAGGGGTGCACTCTCTGCAAAGGCAGAACTGGATACCAGGTGCAGAAAAGCATTTCACGGATCTCTCGATTGCAGAAAATGTCTTCAAATTTACACCACGGCTAAGCATACCGTCTTTATCAAGTGGAAGTATGCACAGGCAATACTTCTAATCTTTCGCAGGAACATAATGGGAAAATCACCGTTAATCATGGTCCAACCCAACGTTTACATATCAGTGACTTGTAAGAAAAAATGTAATATAAGGGTCCACGTTCTTCTACGTCCCGCGGGTTTGTCCTAGAATCGTCTTCTAGCTTCACAATAGAGGGTGTGGGGCCAAACAGGTAGAGCAGAAACGGGCCACCGATCCTTTGAACGCATCTCATTGAAACTATTCAGGTCACTCAGGTGTAAAGTGAACATTTAGGTCATCTATCCCAATTTTGCAGGGGAAAAGGTCAGGCGGAGTGAATGATTCTTCTGCTTCAGAGTGAATTTGCGACAAGTAACATAGCTTGACCAAGGAAGAGCAAGGTTTTCGCGAGATGTACTCATTTCGGAACAGATGTAACCATGTCTCTGTGTAATACAGAACAAGACGATAGCTATCTCGAATTGAAACATCCCACGAGTCAATCCTATGCCAGGCTCATATACTACCTACTTCGCCTCAGGGATAAGGAGTGAAGCTGAGAGGGTACGAGGTACCTTCGGCGTGCAACCTATACCATACTCGCCCGTTAAAGGCAGTTGGCACGATAAGTCCCGAAGACGAGTAGGATTAATACGCCTGGCAGGACGGAATTCCGCGCCCTGAGCAGGCGCTGCGTAGCGCCTTTTCCAAGGAAGGTACCCTTATAAGGACCTATCAGGCCGCAACATACCGACCCGGACGCCCACCGCGCCCGCCCGCCCACAAATGGACGACCGTACCTGATGCTCGTATTGCTTCATTTGCTGAGTAAAATATGAAGCGAAGGGATTGATATGAAGCGGCCGCGGTGCTGCATGGATATATGAGTGCATACGTGCAGCCGTATCTACCGTAGCGGTTATTGGCAAGATGCCTACGGGAAACTCGTCCGAAATGCTTTTGAGTCATTAAGAACGAAGGCTTTTCTTCGCAGGTTTTTGACCGTTTCACTTCGTTTTTTCGCCATTTTCCACTATATAGCACCCTGCTAGCATTTTAGACCGAGTACCAAATTATCGTGCCATCTGCCTTTGAGCTTACGGTGCGGGTTGATGACGCGCCTGTTGTCAAATCTTTTAGCCACAACTCAGCTTTCTTGTGATAATATAAATGATCTTACGATAATCAATACCGTATCGGCATACGGAACATTTTTTACTTGTACTTGAAACAGCGATGACAATTTGAATACAATTTCCCTTCGCAGGGGTCAGGACGGAGTAAAATCAGTGTTCTTGAACAACAACCATCGAGACAAGTCCGCTCGTAGTGGAGATGTTTTGTAAGCCCCTCTTGAAGGAGGATTATTGTGAAGTCCTGTGCTTTCTTGGGAAAGCCATGAAAACTCCCGATTCCCATTTACCATTCCTACGCCGCCAATTCCATTTTCATTTTCATTAGAATGTTTTGCATGTTTGTCGGAAGGCAGGCACGTTCTAGAAGGTGCTAATTAAGGATTGTGAGCAAGGGAGATGAAAATTTTTGTCTGGAACTAGGGGAGAAAAAACTTCCATCTACGTGAACCAATTATTTTACATATTTTACATTTTGTCAACACTTCTTTTCTCATCAGATGGGGTGTGGTGCACCTAATCCAGAGTCCTTCATTCTTTGCATAGCTCACCACCTTTCGTAGGTGATTTTGCTTATTTCCGGATACTATGAACTGACAAAAAAACAAATTTATCGTCACTACGCGGATTCTCCAAACTAAATGACTGCGTAAGAACAGCACCATTGTCCAATGAACATTTCAAGACGTGTCTAGCCGATCATGGATGACTGATCATGGATGACATTGTCGTGATCGAAACTACGTCGCGCAGCTACAGGGTGGCTAAAAAGCATAGGCGTCTTATCCCTTATAATTTTTTCTTTCACTCAAACCAAGTTGGCTGTTTTATCACAGATGTTTTGTAGCATTCTCTATACTTGCTAGCATATGCTTCTTTTCTAGTTTCTTGCTGTCTCACCACTGTTTGTCCGTGGTTAAAGCAACCATGTGACTTGCGCACCTCGTGGAACTCCATCGCTACTTCCCTACAGAAAACCTCACTTCAATCTGACCAGGAGACAGCCAGTCAGTGGAATACTGAAGGCTTAGGCCGCATGATCAAAAAAACGGCAACTATGATCAGTCAGTGGACTGAAGCCCCAATCGCTGAATAAAAAGAGATCAGCTATAGACGACTAATTGGCAGTGGAGTTGATATCAGGGAAGTCTGAGAATCTTTGGGGAGCATACGAAATACCGTGAAGGGTGCCGAGGGCTTCTTACTTACTGAGGGACAGCGTGTGCGCGGAGGATCTGCCTGGTGGTCAAATAAAGAATATTCAAGAGTAAATGCAGCAACAGCAGTGGAACGGATTCCAACCCATTTACCCGGCTCGGAAGAATGTCAGAGAGTTGGCTTTATGAAGAGCTGTTTCGAAAGGTTCTAGTGTTTAGAATGGAATATCCACTGCAGCTGCAGGTGATGAGCCACTCATTATTAAAAAATGCCAAAGTGAAGATCAATGTTGAAACCTGGTAAAAGAGGCTTTGAAGGTGACTGGAGCCAAATGAAAAAACGTAGCACCCCCAGACACAAAACTTACTGGGATGGTGTTCAAAGGGGAATATCAGTGATGGCGTACCATGACTTTCGAGTGCCGAACGAAGACTTGTTGTCTTTCGGCAGCCTCCTCAAGATCCACTTAATTTTTCTAGTCAATATTTTTGAAATAGAATCTCAAGAAATATCGATTCACCATTTTGGACACTAATTGTCTTGGAAATATCAATGTCTTTAGCACTTTGAAATGGGACTACATGTGCTGACTCGATTTACTTCTCTCACGTTTATCGTCCTATCTCTTTCCTAAGGATCGATGCTCCAAATATTTTTGTGAAATCGTTTGTACAGGATCTATTGTAGTACTAGTAAACCCAACTAGGGGAACTCGTCAGAAAGAATGCGCAGTTCTTTGAGGGGAGATTCTTGTAGGGGTCAGTACTTTTAAGCCATCTCATACAGTAGCTGTGCCATGTGACGTTGGAACACAGAATAAAAATGGAGCCGTGGCAGCTTCACAATCAGTTCTTCTCCAGAGCGCCCGGCTGTTGCCGGGATATTACAAAACGACTCTTTCGTCCTCGGATGGACTAACGCCCAACCCTAATACCGATTGATGGACTCTGGAGAGATGGAAAGTATGGCTTTTCAAAGCGCTAGCTGACCTCTAAACCATGCTCTGACAAAAACAGCAACTTGTCACTGCACCATGTTGCCAGTAACTCTACTAGTACTTATCCTAGCACAATCATCAACAGTCATCGATTCCACTTGTTCGAGGATTACAGTATGTGCCAGGAAGCAATGAAGCTATCCTGTTGGTGAATCCCGGAAGGTCAATGAATCAGCAGCACGTTCTTCTTGCTCATGAATGCTAGTGGACCGAAACCAGACATGGCGTGACATCAAATGAGGGTTTTACCCTTGGTTTTAGTCATCCCAGTGTGAGTAGGATTACCTAATCCTGCGAGCCGCTCATGACCAAAACATTCCTGTCTCGCCCCTGTCGATGGACTGGATAGGTGTAACTGCAATTGCAAAATCGCTGATCATTCACCGTCATCAATGGTCGTCATCGTACTGGTTTACCGTATCGCATGAAATCATACCAGAAATCGTTTGATCAGCCATGTGTACAAAGTCTGTACAAAAATATTGTGTTTGTTTAGCTGCAAGGCAGCGTAGGCGACTGAAGCTCTAAATTTACGAGGTTACCATTTATTACACAAATATACAACGAATACCGTAACATATTAGGAAATATTGCATACAAAATGACTAAATCACCAGTTGACACAGTGTGTGCACGAACGCTGTGATACCACAGCAATAGGCAACTACTGAATACTTAATAGTTGTTACCCTCCAGTATTCCATTAATAGATCCGCGTGCAGAAGTTGGGGACTTTCGGTTGTTCAGGAGCATCATCGGGAAGAACCGGAGCCACAGTGGTAGTGGTAGCCTTTTCAGATGCCCCGCCGAAGAACGAGGAGAAGAAGTCGGAACTACCGAATAGATTGCTCACTTGCTGAAACACTTTGGATTACTGTAGATGCACAACGTGTTGATGGGAAGTTCCGACCTGTTGAATTTGCTTTTGGACGTAGTCCTGGTAGACGGTCTGCTTCTTCTCAAACTCCTTCAGCTCTTGAATTTCGTTCTGGTCGAGATCGCGTGCGTATGTGGTGCCAACGTAGACCTTATTACCCTGGAAGAAGATTTTATGAGTTATCTTTGAGAAGCCCTGAGTCAGAATACACCCGAACACGCAAAGGAGGATTCAAGGGCTTTTTTTGAGAAACCAGCCTATGCTATCCTATGGTAACCACTTCAAAATCCCATTGAAAGAGGTTGTTGGCTCGATTTCACTGAAATTATCGGCTACCCCATCAAACAAGTGCATTCAGCCGGCTGTTGAGGTACTGGCTTGTGAGTCAGACGGCATGATTGCTTCGCAAACAGCGCCATCACTCACAAAGCCGGCCGTGCACACAAGTCGGCAAAAAACTGTTCTACGCATCAGTAAACACCTATTGAAGTTGACTTCGGTTACTTGATTGACCTTTCCTTCACCTTCGTGTGACGTTAAAAGAAGTATGACTAAGAGAGTGATGTACCTGAACCATGCATCCGTCAAAGTAGAACTGGGTGGTGTCCTCTTCAGTGCAGAATGAGGGCTTTTGTGGTGGTTTGGGCAAGTCTTCCTCTTTCGGGGAGACCGCCTTTTCCTTCTTACCAGCCATACGTTGTTTCAGGCTCTCCTGGTGTTCCTTCAGTGCTTTTTTCACAGCCTTAAGTGATAACAGATTGATAAGGCGATCAGAGCTGCTCAGAAGCTACTTACCTCTTTATAGTCGGCCACCTGCTGCTCATAGTTCTCCAGTTCCTTCTCCTCTGCTTGAGTGAGCTCACGGAGGCGGAAACCATTTGCATAGAGAGTATTTCCCTGAAAGGTTATCCATCGCGGCGGCCAAATGAAAAATGGGAATCCCTCACTGAGAGCAAAAATATGGTACAATCACGAAAATGAGAAGCGAACTCACAGTCACTACACAACCCGTGGCTCCGCCGACTCCTCCACTGACAGCGATGGTGCCGACAGTGAGGCGCTTCTGTCTGGGAGCTGCTACAGCGATTCCACAAAGGACGCACAGCGCAATGAACTTCATCTGAGAAGGAGACACTTTAGTGAAACTTGAAAAGATCGAAATCGTTGGAGTATGGCTGATTGATGACATTCAACAACTCTGGAAGGACAGGCGATAAATCAACAGACAAACGCGAAAACATGGTTATCTCCACCGTTTTACTGGAGAACATCCCGTGGTAGTTCGTCCTTTAGGAAATGTTTGCCGCTTTCATAGTTCCAATATGTAAACCGGAATCCACATAATAACAGGGGTATTACAGGATATAATTTGTCTGTGTCCTATATAACTGGAAAAAGATGGTAAGAGGAGCGTAAAACAGGCGAGAAAAAGGTAAGAAGGTGAGTCGTACGTCGTGAGATGCTCACCGCTCACCATGCCAAGTTCCTTTTTCCCGACGAAAAGAATGAAAACATTCGAAAGAATGGAAGGGGCGGGACCTCTCTCATCATGATAACCTCTTACACAGTGTTCTGCACAGAGCTAGCAGGGTAAATCTCTTCCGAGGACCTATCAATAATCTCATGCATCAGTTGCTTCTCCTCCGCTGGAGGAGTACGTCCGCTGCCGTCCGGGCCTTGGAGAAATTGCAGAAAAATATGCAGCTGGAGAAGGAGCCAGACTTTCTGATAGATTGTCAGCCAGATGAGCCAGTCAGACTCGGGATGCCCTTTGTAATGAAGTCAGTCTATAGCTGGTATTTTAAAAAGCACTCAGAATGGGAATATCCATCTCCTGACTGAAATTTGGAGACTTTCACAAGAACATAGACTAATGATGGGAAGCCAAAGATCACAGTTCGAATGGCTGCAGGCTATGGTAACTGCAAATAATCCGGTGAAAGGAGCAAATGATCTGAATGTATGTGCAAAAATAACGTTGAAATTTTGGGTTGGCCTGGGCAGGGCTAAAGAAGTCTCAAAGTTGGGAGGAGGCATGTTCTTAAGCCGTAGCGATATCCAGAATGTCAGCATGTTGCCAGGATTTCCCGCAAGCGAATGTCTGCGCTAGACCCGGTACAATCTCGTTGGTCTTCGACCACATCAGCCATAATCTCCCATCGATCACCCTTTGGCGACAAACCCATGGCGGCGCATGTAATAGATGGGATAGGAATAGTCTAGAATCTATGGCTAAGAGGATAAGGACAAAGCAAGAGAGTATTGAAAAACAAAGAATCGCAAGTAATGCAACTGTCGTCGACGAGAACCAAGTCAACAACTGGGGTGTGTCCACCTGGTTCGACTGGAGTAAGAGGCGGAGGAGGATGATATTGAAGGCGGAGTGAAGGCTGGAATTGAGGGCTGGAATGGGGCGGCCGCTGCGCTTGGCGGTATCGCTGTCGAGGACCAAATTCACAGGAATTGGAGTGTAGCGAATCGGTCGCATAATGCATAAGGTTGAATGATGATTATGACGGCAATGAATTGAAATGGCCGCGACACGATCTGTTATACTGATTGCCCAATTTCGCTACCGTACACCGTTCTTCCAAAGCGATTTGAATTCAAGACTGGAAGAAAACTGTTGATGTTCCATAAAAAAAAGTGTGAAAAGCATGAATGCGCTGAAAGAGAACCTGTTTGTGTAAGAAGATGGAACTGACTGGGTCAAGTCGCCGAGAATCCATAAAAGAGGGCTCTTTACGATCAAAACATTATCGCCTAATATTTTCGAAACACTCTTTCTAGAAAACATTGAGTAAAACCATTGAGTAAGACAAACTACAGCACCGTGCTGAGTTCTCGAAATAAAAGTACTTCAAGGAGATTCACAGCGAACATCTCATCATCTCACGAATCATCTCACAGGTCAGCCTGTCCCACTTTGAACTACATAAATCGAAAGCGCAAGGCCAGACTGCAGCGCCTACATCAGTGCGACGAACGCGGACATGGTGATGACTGGCGAAGAGTGATTGTCTGAATCCTAGGCCTTTCACGCTGATAGGTGGTGGAAACAATGGGTGGCGAACGGGTTGCGAACGGCGCTTTTATGGGCGCATGAGCGGCGCAACAGGTGCGCGGGGAGAAACAAACTGAGTCATCTGAAAAACGCTTACATACAACATTCTCATTTCACACTTTGTGATGAGTCATCAAACAAAAAAGTCCATCCTGTCTGTTCTTTAGAAACCTGCCCTGGAGCACAGGGATTAACTGGCTTTGAGAGTAAATGTTCCGACAGTTGTCCTCCAGTCAAATCACATGTCTGTTACAGCACTCAACTTAGTAAGCGTCGGATCGAAGATTATATTTTCCTACAGAAATCAATGATCTTGCGTTGTAAAAAACTCATTTCCAAAGTCAAGGTCACAAAATTCATGTTCAAGGTTGTTTTATTTCGATAACTGCTGTTGAGGCCGCAATGCACGCTCTGAAAGTTATTACAAGAATACTGAGATAATGGCAAAAGTCAGACCCGGTAAGCTGGAGATACGTGTTCAACTCCCGTCCTGGGTCCGAGTTATGCCAGCATCTCAGCATTCTTAGGACAACTCTTGAAAAATTTATATCCTCCTTGAACTAGAACAGCTCGTCAGCATCCATAATCGACTTTCAATGAATCTTGGCATCGTATGAGGTCCTTCTGATTAGATGTTCAAACCACAGCCAAGATGCTAACAACTTTATTTTTCTTTTCGACCACCGCTAAGAGTTTAGCTAAGAGTTCAGCTTTGGTCGATTCGGGCTAGCCCTGCTCTCCTAAGGCTCCGACGAAGGCGACAAGGCCGAAACGTCAGCCAAATAAAGTTGTTAACATCTTGGCTGTGGTTTCAAACATCTAATCAGAAGAACAGTTCGTTATCCGGGAATAGCGGGGCATAATGGCGATGACAGGCTTCCGAGCTACCCTTAGTTCTCACCATTAACTCTGCCCTGTAGCACTGGGCCATCCACTAATTCCGTTGACATCGTCAATAAGAAGGGACGCACACACGCGTCATAAGCATGAACCACTACGCACCAGTGTTTGATATCAGCGAGCAGGGGAACACTCGCCTGCCAAATGAATCCTCGTAGGCCCAACCTCCATTCGCGCCTTTCTCTGGCTGAGAGGGTCTCGCATGGTGTAAAGGGACCTGACCTAAAATAAGCGCTTTTGTTGCGGACCCTATAGAAAGCTCAGTGGCTGGCCGAACATTTACTTTGGACACTTTTCTTGATCATAATGTTTTCACAACTCGTCGATCTCATGAGCGTGAGAGCTCAGGAAGACTGGCAGTCGTGGGGTCGAGTTACGAAAAACAAACCATGACTCTTGGCGAGTACATCTGGACTGCTCACAGATGTTTGCCCAAGAGCGAGGAGATGAACTTTAAAAAACTTGCCCGAATAGATTAGACTCGTGGTTTCTTACACACGCACTCCATGGGCCGAAATCGCTGCAGCGATTTCGTCAAACTACGCCGTCCTATTCGATAGGGGAGATGACAAAATTAAATTTCTCAGCAGCTCGCAGCGGACCTAGACGTCATTTCTTCGTTAATATAGCTGGGACTATTTACATTCGCTTAGACAAGACGTAGAGCGCTGCCAATCTCACCCACAGTAGGCTTAAAATCTTATTTTGAACGTATACCTAAATGACGATGTAGCTGTTTCCCCGCGCTCGTTATATACCCAGTTCGATCTATGTATGTATCAATCACTTGTTCCAGCTATCGATATGTAATTGTAAATGTCCCTTCATTTGTGCAGATCATCTTTGGTTGTTCTTCCTTATACAGGTGCATTCCTTTTGATTAGCGTTTTTATTATTGTTTTAACGTCGCCCTCTGATGGCGACTTACATGCTCACTCATGTAATAAACTAAACTAAACTAAACTTCAGGAACTAACTGAACGAATTTTCAGCTCTTCGGCGATGATGGAAAAACGCTGATAACCCTAGCGGCTAGACAGAGTCAGAAATGGGGATGTCAGGGCAGTCACACGGACGGCTCCAGTCCAGCTGAAGGCACGCGCACGTGCTGAGGAGCCCGAGCACCACCCAGTAAATGGAAAGCATTGCAATTCGAAGTAGAGGGCAAGCGTCAAAAACTCGCCCCTAAGAAAGATCGAGGGGTGTCATCAATTAGGAGACACTGAAGTGAATGCTACGGCAGTAAGATGGGCAGCTGATGCGGATACAAGATCGTGCCATGCCAGAACGGCAGGCAGAACCCAGTGTACGGCGCAGCGACTAGTTTGGAGAAGTAAGAACGCGTAGGCGGCGCATTTAACAAAGGACTCTTTTTGGCAAAACTTACAGGCTTACCGTGCATTGTAGTTGAAGACTTTTCCTGCGTAGCCTGAAGGAAGAAAGCCTCGAAGGATTGAACATGATTTTTAGTGTGGTGATGTGCTTATTCAAATGAATAATTGCTAATTAGGATTTGTATGTAGCATGTTAGTGGCATTCCGATCTCGCCCCCTCCCCTCACCTCTCCTCGGGTTATTTAGATGTCCCCTACCCCTCTAGAAGAAGTCGGTGGAAGTAGTGTCAGATAGCTTGCTCCTGGTCTTATAGAGGGGTATCTCAAGCATTTTCACCTCGGCTTTTCTACTTACCTTTTCATCCAGTGCTACGCAAACCTTGGTGATACGCGCTACGAGCAAAGTGCTTTCTTGCCATACTTGTCTCGGAAATATGTATACTGCAGCCACATTGATAAGATTTTGCTGTCTCGTTTTGAATGAAATCCCAAGCGCCCCGGATCCCGTCAAATAAGAACGATGCATGGGGCGATTCATTCATTAGATCTGTCTTCCATCTTGCTGTGATGCTCAGCCTCTCGAAGGGATTCTGATGCGAAGGGATGATAACACTCCCGTTGTACTCAATTTTCGTGTAGAATTATTCCCGTGTGGTGTTCTGACATGATAGGCAGATATGCCGCCTGCTGGCTAGACGCTTGGCTTTGTTCACCAATTTTCGGATCAGCCTAAGTAAAGATCCGCGCTTAGTGCGATCCTGGGAGATTAGGCGATTTCACTGCTTTTCCACTTCATCTCTCAAAATAGCAACACAAACTGCAA